ATGGTTGTGTCTTCTTATCCTAACACTGTATCTCAGTGCATAAGAAATCATTTCTGATGCAACAGATTCTTGTGACAGAAGGTTAAAAACCAGAGGAGTGTTCTGCTGTCTCTCTGCAATTCATGTTCTTTGTCCTGAAATGGTAATTTCCATGGATAGTTCTTCAGAAATAAACCCTTTTAGCTTTGTTTCCTGTGTAGGCCTAAGACACAGCAGTAGTTTGAGAGTTCATGATTCGTGATGTAAAAGGAATCCTTACAGGTTGAAAAACAAGTTCTTTCGTTAGCATAAATACAACTGAAGGAGAGGAATAACCAATAAGCTAACAAAGTATGACAGTGCTTAAAGTAACCTTTTTATAGTCAAGAATGTAGCATTCAAAACGTGATATTACAAGACATTTCAGAGCTAAAAACGTTAATTGTATTTCTGGGTTTTTTTAGTAGCAAGACCTTTAGATTTCAACAGGGCTGTATTTTCAGGTTAGAGGAGGATCACAATCAAATTTGTCCCATAAGTTGTACATCTGGGAGAGAGGCAGAGAAGTGCCTCAGAAGCAAGTGACTTCATTTTAAAGTATCAGTAATTTAAAGATGATTGCGGGCTTTGTTTTGAGACTTTTAGATAAGCCCAGAAGTAGTAAGCAGTGAAGGTATTATGTTCATGATGAATGTGTAATAAATACAGTTTGTATTTATCACCAAGTGTGTTGTGCTTCTGTATTTAAGTGTATATTATGTTTAAAAAGTCTGTATGTATGTGTGTTACTTAGGGATTCTCCTGGATGAAAGTTTCTTATGTAAGTGTAAATCACTGTTTTCCTTGCTGATTTTACAGCAGTAAATCCTTCCATTATTTCCTGGCTATCCAGACCTTATGATACAGTATGTCCTGTGCTGTCATATGTGTGAGAAGGCTTTTTATGGGGCGCAATCAGGCTGGACCCCAATCTCCAGTGCAATGTTTTTTTCTAATTAAATTGTCACTGGAAGGAATATCCGGAACAGCAGTTTTCATTTTCAGTTGAGGAAAAAACATTATGAGTCTTTGTCATTTGATTAAAAGTTACTTAACCTTTAAATTGCTACAGATGTAAAGATAGCTCTGAGTTTCCAATGTAATCGCCTCCAAGTTAAAATCAGGAAAATCTTTGTGTAATGAAACCCATATGTCATAGTGAAAGGATGCAAAGCATTGGCAGAGTGGGCTGCTCTAGCAGGAGATTCTGCACCCAATCTTGTTAACCAGGACTGCTTTTGGTAATCCCTCATCTCCTCACTTGTAGGAAATCAATCTGTACTACTGAATCTTTTCAACCAGCAACTACAAAATTTACTGCAGAGAGGCAGCTTGGGGACAATTGTAGTAAAAAAGGAGCCAAGGCAACAAGGCTAAATGTGGGATTGAGGGATTGAAGTTCTAAAGAGGAGATTATATTAAACCTTATTCTGTTCCCCTATCAAGTAGAAATGTCTCCTCCTCCTTCTACCCCAGCCTTTCCTACACCTGTTCTTGAGATCTGCTTGGCAGATCTTGCCAGGCAGCAAACTTAATTCCTACAGTACAGCATTCTCTGTTAATTATAATAGCCTGATACCATTTTTCAATATGTTTATCTGAAAGAGTCTATTCAAACACTACTTCCATTGTAACCACTGCTGATAATATCTTAAAGTGATTTTTTTCTGTGAAGTTCAGTGTCTTCCTTCTCCCTAGTAGGTGCAATTAATTTGTATCCAAGCTATTGCGATCCTATTTATTGTTGATTTTTCTGTTGTAGTAGATGCACAGCGTAGGCAAGGTTGTAAATCATGACTTGTCATGCAGATTCATGTTTCTGTTTCATGCTGCGCAGCCTCTGTACTGTGTGTTTGCTGGTACAATGAAACCTGTGCTCAAGCCCTCTTCCCTTGAAGTCTGTGGTTTAAACAATCATTGTAAAGAAAAAATCCCCAAGGTTTTCACTATAGTTTTGTCCAACCTTTTAATTAAAAAATCCACCTCTATCTACTATTCAACTGGCTTCTGCTGGTCCCTTGGGTAGTTGTTTAAAACTGGTTTTACCGTCTTTCTTAGCCTGCAATCATATTTGGAATGTGGATGATGGTTTCTTCATTCACAAGCTCTTCCCTCACTCCAGCAAGCTCTGTAAGACCCCATTGGAAATTATATTTTTTATTCCCATTATTAAGAATTCATTTATCAGAAGCAATATTGAGCAGAAAAGTCAGTTTTATATTAGAGGCTTTTACTGTGCAAAATGCAAGCTCAAATCATACTCCAGTGCAGACTAAAGAGAAACAAAGGGGAAGGAATAGCCAAGATGTTTCAGTGTAATACCATGTAATAAAAATTTGGCCTATGTTTACCAGGAATACATTGAACTATGATTCTTGGGCAGATAACGGAAGCAGCTGAAGCAGGGAAAAGAAGATTGTTAATGTTTGTGGAAACTTGCCCTTAGTTTGGCTATGGTTTTTTTGTCCTATGAGGATGTTATTTCCTGGCCATTTTCATACATATACAAAGATGTAAGGTCCTTTTTCTTTTTCAGTTTGGCATCATATCTTTAAAAATAAAGCCCTGGTGCAAGCCTGAGTCTGAGGAGATGAGGAATACAGAATAGCAGAAGGCTGTCTCCTGCTCCTAATGGGATTTTGTAGCAGCATGTGCGAGTTTGTTTCAGAAGTCAGAAATGAACAGATGTTGGTATAAATTACCTCTGTGTCTGATGTCTTGCAAATTAAAAGCGCGGTTGGCATCACTAAACAATTTCACCAGGTTGGGGGGGGAAGCGGGCGGTGATTATTGTAGCAGGTCGGTAAGAATCTTTAAGCTGCAGCAGAACAGGATAGCAAGGATAAAGGAATGAAGAATAAAATGAGAGGTCTGTGAATTAATCAGAAATGTTAACATCTCTGATGACAAGTGAACAGGCGGGCACGTGCTTTGGAGCAACCTCCAACCCACAGTAATTTCACTCAGCGCACAGAAGGAGTCTATGCTCTCTGCCTGATTTATAGGGTGCAGCCCTCTTTGGGGGAACAGAATTGTCATGCATTCGTATATCTCCTATATGGGACTTACACTTTGGAAAACTTTCCACTCTATCAACTACAGTTCGGCTTTGAGCTTTCTCTGCTAAGAGTGTCTTAAAACCGTACACTGTTGATAGTGCAAGGCAGGGAGATGTCAGAGAACTGGTACTGAGAATCTATTCCAAGCTAAAATTTTAAAAATCTTGCAGTTTTACTTCGCCATGTTGTTTTTGCATAACAACTTAGTTCCTGACAAAATAATAATCCACTCTGCTCTTCTGCAGCACCTTCTATCCCTGCATCAGCACTTAAAACATACAAGTTATCTTGCAAGTGGGGAGGGCAGAGGTACAGAGGTACAAATGAGGACTTTCGTGGTAGTTCATGCTGTGAATCAGAAGCAGTGTTGGGAATGGATCCCAGGTGATATAACTCACAGCTGAAGGCATGAACCAAGTGAATAGTGCAGTGACCTGCTGGTATCTGCAGCCAGTCTGAAGCATGTTCCACTCAGGGCAGTGGACTTTGCAGCCTATGAGTATCAATATGTAACAGGCTGGTTACATATTTTTACATATATGCATATTGATACTTGTTTTACAGGGATTTTTTTGAAGACAATACCTTGTGATAGAATTTTGGGTAGACAAATTAGGACGTAATAATTTAAAGAAAAGGTTTTAAGACAGAAATTCTAACCTTTATGTAAAGAATTACAAAATGTTTTTATGTTAGGCTGCACAATTGAGTATTTTAAGCTGGACATTGTTATTATACTTTAGTTCTGTTTTAACAGATAATCAAAAATGTCAAAAGAAAACCCAACATCAGCAACAAACCCACCTCCAGATTTTATTCTAATTGTAATTTCTGTTGTTCCTCTCAGTAGAGAGGTCAGGAACTGAATGGATAAAACAGAAAATGAATTCCCATCTCCTTCCAGACCATCTTTAGGCTTGGTTTGGGGAACAGTCATTCTTTTGTTATTCCTGTGAATAAAAACCTCCATATTTTGATGCCTGTCAGTCCAGCACAAAGCTTACACCTTTATTGAAAAGAAATGGAGAGGCACCAGTGGGAAGATTGTCATTCTCCAGGACTCAATTGCTAACGATGTTGTCTTTGGTGCACTGTGTTGTTATTGCAAGACAAGGATAGTATTAGGACTGCTCTGCCAGCTTGTGAGCTTATGGGTTCTCAGGTCAGAAATGTCTCATGCAGAAAAGTGGCTGTGGTAAACCCTGCTGTAGTACAGCTACCAGAGATTGATGGTACCAAGAGTGAGAGACATATAAACCTTGCCTTGCTGTATTAAACATTGAAGGACTGACAATGCAGAGAGAGAGAGGAGACCAAAGCTCTATAAACTTTACTTTATTACACTATCCATAGATGAACTGCATTGAAGGAATATAAACCCCATTACATTACAGCATCCAGGGACTGACACTGCTGAGAGAGAGAAAATGCTGTCTAATTTCTGTTGAAGATCATAGCATCCAGGGACCAATAATCCTGAAATGGAGAAAGAGAGAGTTCCATAATCTCTGACAGATTATAGCATCCAGGAACAATTGCGTGGAGATAGAGTGATGGAGATGTGGATTTCACCATTCAGAGATGGATAGTACAGAGAAAAGGAGGTGCTGCAAGAGCATAATGCAGTAGGAATAGGAAGCATAGATTGCATGTAATGAGACAGCCTGTGGGAATTATTGCTGAGTTTAGAAGATTCCAGGCCCTGCCTATGCATTTCTACAATATCAGGAAATCAAGTTGGAATGTAGTTTTATTTATTTTCCACTAAATAGATAAATAAAATAAGCCTTACTCACTTTTGGTACAAGCACAAATCTAACTGAATTTCTTATCCTGTGGTTAAAATATGTAAATTATACAATTGTTTAGGTTTCTTGGCCCTTAAAAAAATACTGATTTATTTTTCCTTCTTTGTGATTTCAGCTAGAGAAATGACTCGAGGGAAATTCCTGAACATCCTAGAGAAACCCAAAAAGTAGCTGCTACATCTAGTGTTTGGACGAAAATACACCAACTAGGTCATTTTATGTACTGCGGATACAGAGGAAGCCCAGAACTTCTAAGAAGAAAAAGCTCTTGCTCTAGACCTTCAGAAGCAAACATCTATTTTTGCTTCCACGGATCATCTCTTTATGGGGGAAAACGTATGGCATACACAAGTCACAAGGACTGCAGATGGTTGTGTTGGAATTTGGAACTTCATCTGACCATAGAATGTCCAACCTGACGTGCTGTGACACAGTTACCTGTTTTAATCAGCTGTTCAAAGTGACTAGCTAGTGTCCTTGTTCAGCTCCTCTCAGGGGCAGCCCCTGTTTCAAGTACACAGCAGATCTGACTCTGGCTGGTGTGCATCATGAGGCATTGACCCTTTTGTGTGTCTTTTGTCTCAGATGCATTGATTTCCTGCGACTTCTGTGCTAAAGGATTTGAGCACAGTTCAGGGTGTGGATTGACCAATACCGGTTCAGCAGGAGCATATGATTTTAGTGTAGAAACTGAGCGCAGTCTCTGCTTTAGATTCCAGTTACTCACTGCCTTCAGAGAAGCATGTCTGGTACTCCGAGGCAGACCTTCAGTACACCAGGAGCTTCATTTCCCTGCTAAACGGTTCTCTAGTGAAATTGAGACTGACAGACCACTGTGAGTAAGAGGTGTTACTGTGCCATAAAGGAAAATATCCTCACAGAAGCTTTGCCCAGTACGCAAAGAGACAGCTGTGTCAGTCCACTGCAATTCTCTGCTTCTAACAGAGCTAGAAATTGGAAAGAGTTATAAAGTTGAAAGGTGAGAATATTTTCAGTTAGCACTCTAAGAAGTGGCAACAGGATTTTTAGCCACATTGCAAGGATGGTCTGCCTATAGAGACTCTTAGCATTTCTGAAAAAAACCTTTTGTGGTATCTTTAATTACTTATATGCCAGCACCTCAACATTTTCTTCTACAAAATCAGAATTTTTAAGACAGAAATTTCTGTGACCTGATCCCTTTCAGCACACTTTTTTGGTATTTATTCATCTTACAGTTTAATGCCTTTTCCTCCTGTTCATGCACTTTTACGTGTTCACCCTGTAGAAGAGGTAAAGAGCATGTTCAGACTTTTTGGTTTATTTAAGGGAATAATTTCTTTTGCTTCATCCTCTTTCCTTTTCCTAGAAAACAACATTTTAAGAATTAGTAAATATGTTCTTTTTAGGATACAATATGATGTGGAAACACTGGGGGAAGAGCAGGGTTTTTTCTCTATTTAGAAATGTTATTTTTACCATGCAGGCTTTTCAAAATTTGTCATTTCTCAGTAGTCACATATGAGAAGAGAAATTACTTGGAAATAGTGCATGTCCTTAGAGCACTGCATTTTTCTGGGTTTTCAGGGAGAGAAGGCTCTTTTCAGATGCATGTGCAATAAAGAGAGGGAGATTTTTAAATCAAATGGACTTCTCTGAGTTTTTACTAAATTGCTAATGACCCTTTGGTTTGCTGTCTGTGGTCTTGGTTATTGCCAGTCAGAACTGGGCTTGTTTTGGACAGCTCCTGTTAACTAAGTTTTCCACATGCTGTAAAGACCCTGCACAAATACCGAATATTTAGGAATGTCAGAAGTCTGATTTTAAAGTTGACAGAGTTATTCCTGTACTTCACAGTTTATGCAGGGCGGAGCTACAGAGGAACTCCTTCCCTTCAGAATATGAAAGTTAAGTCAAATGAATGAGAAGCTGGAAGTAGTAGATCAGAAACAGAAAAAAACCTGATGGTTCAAACTGATGTTGATGTAGCTTTAAGCATTGAATTATACATTTTGAATGCAAATTTAAATTTGTATACTATAGATACAATATATTTATGATGACATAATGGGATACTTCATCTGTATCACCAATATGAGTTTGTGCATTTTATAGAGGTTTATTGGTCCAACACATTAATTGAGATCTGAAAGGAGAATATATGGAAGCCTGTTATCATAGAATCATAGAATCAGACGGGTTGGAAAGCACCTCTGAGATCAAGTCCAACCCTTGATCCACTACCACCGTTATGGAAGTATGTGTGTATTTTCTGATATGTGCTGTAAGGAACTTCAAACTTTAGGTAGTTTTTAGTAACATATATATGTTTTTAAAAAATAAAAAGAAAGAGAAATCTCCTTTTACCATATGCAGTACTTGTCTTCTATAGGGCAGCCATTAACATATGCTTTAAAATTACGATATTTCTTGGTTTTGTACTTGTCATCTGTAGTGATTTTTTTTATTGGCATCAATAAATATTTGTCAATGTCCAAATTGTACTAAGGATTTTCATACCCTTTTGAACTCTATTTTTTCCTTCAATTATATCCTTTCTGATATCCATGCAGTTATATATCTGTACAAGAAAATCTGAGTGACTTCTTGTTACTGGTAACCTTCTGTATTTTGAAACAAAAATTAAATTTTGATAAATGATAGGAATGAAAAGTGTAAAAAAATCAAGATTTGGTCATATTAATTAAGGTAATGCATTGCTTTATAAACTATTTTCATGTATTGGTAAGTTAAATGCTACTCTGAGTTTCATGGAAGTTAACTCAGTATGTATTTTGGTTCCTTTTAAATGCCAGTGTTGCATACATTCAGTTATAAAGGCTATTCACTTCAGTCTTGGACTGTCAAATGATTTGCTATCTAATCCACCTGAGAAGAAATTCTTGTTTGTTGTATTAACCATTATCAAAATTTAAGTCTCTGTGCACTGGCAGTTGAAAAACACGATACTCCATTTAACTCACTGGTTTGCCGTTATGAAATTAACCATTTTGTAACAGTCCTATAACCCACAGTTGTCAATATTGCTTCATATTTATTTCAAGAAGTCACCTAGAAACAACAGATTAGTGAAAACTGATTAATCCAGCTTGGAGGTAGTGTTTGAACCTTATTCTGGTTTGTTTTACTGATTTTTATGTTACGTAAAAATGTAAGGTGCTATTACAAGTCAAATCACAAGCCCGTCTTATCTGTAATCTTCTCTTTGCTTATAAACAGTTGTAGAAGGATAGGGAAGGATATAAACAAAGGGCTTACGCAGTGATTTTGCTTTAGGGTAACTTACATAGCATCCAGCAATCTGTTTTAGTTGTATCTGGTCCACAGTAGACCCTTCCTTCCATAAATTTGCCTTAGTCCTAATCTGTCTATACTTCTGCCCTCAAAAGTGCCCCTGGATGATGAGTTCCATCATTAAGTTGTACAAAGAAAAGTTAAAAACAACAAAAAAAAAAGGGAGGAAAGTAACTGCTTGTTTTAAACCTGCTTACCTGATAATTAGTTCCATTCTGAATCTTTGATTTCTTTTATTGTCACACACAGGTGTTTGGATTTTTCTTCTTTGCTGTCTATGCACTATTCATGATTTTTCAGGTTCTGTTATGTTTTTGTCTTCTATTACAGCCGGAGCTGGCATAATCAAAACTGCAGAGTATTCAGAGTGCAAGCATACTGTGGAAGTGTGTAAGTCCTAATTACAGCTTGTGTTTTACAGTTACTCTGCTGTTTTCTCCCCCATCATCCTGGGCTAAATCCTGTTTTGAGTATCTCTAAGAACAGGATCATCAGTTAGATTTGCAGTCTGTGTATGCAGCTAATCTTGTCCACTTACTTCTTCACCCACAGTAACTTGTGCTGGGCAAACAACACTTTATCCAAATCATGATGACAGTGATGCCAGCCACTCCATGCTGATAAATTGACATCTGGCAATTCCATCATCAGCCTATGCAGTATGTAAAAAAGGTAAATTACATCTTTGTCATGTGGTCTGAAATCCTGGACTCCTGCCCTCCCACAAGTTCAGTAACCTTCCATAAACATTTCTGTAATACTTCTAAACTATTAAAAATTTTTAGATAAACACAATCAAAAAAAGAAGACAACTTGCAAATTACTATTGCAGAAAATCCACATTGATAAACAACAGAGATATGATCTTGACAGAGGCTTTTCAAGCATCCTCACCTTTACTCTGAGTTCCTACTAAGGAAGAACCTCAAGCAACAAGGGTACTTGTAATGGGGAAATCTGTCACATCTTTGAGCTATCTGAACATGGCAAGCAAACTTAATATAGCGTGAAAATAATCCTCACTTCTTTAGTGTTGTACCCCCATCTTCATATGCCACTGACACTTTTTAAGAAGTCAGTGAATAATCAGACTTTAGGAGAAGATGATAATTCATTGAAAGACAATTTTGTAGAAAGTCATCCCTGTATCTTCAGCCCAGCAGAATTATAGTTGGACAGTAACTTCTCATGAACAGTAATAAACTCTGAGCTGAATGAAAATGATTAGAAGAACAAATGCAAGTGTCGTAGACACATTTCTGTAATAACTATAGCAAAAACTTCCCACTGCAGAAATACCAAAACCCATGTTTTCTATGTGCACGTCCCAATATATACATCAGCCAGAGTGCCAGATATGTCCAGAAGAGATTATATGTGTGATGCCAAATATCTCTGATAAGATATGGACCTTGATATTTTTAGAAGGCAAGACAAGAGAAAAAAAAATTACAAAGAGAGAAAAAGGAAAACAAGGAAAAGGACTTGAAGAAGACTGAACCCTTTTGCTTTTATGTAATGCTAGTATTCTTGGAATCAAAGTTATTCTAGAAGACATGTTATCCCTGCAAGTCAATCCTTACATCCGTGCTTTGAGTTTCTTACAGGAGGATGTGAAATGCAAAATCCTGAAGTCAATCATTGTGGCCAGTCATAAAATCTGCATAAAGACAGTTAAAAGGTTAAGTGGCCAGAGAAGTATGGACTGATCCAGTTTCTGTAGAATGTAATCCACATTCCTCATAGAGAATGTGCAACAATGCCAGTTTTATTAATATTGTGCTAGATTTTCAGCACGGCAGGATCTCTTCACGTTTTGACTTCATCATCCACTGAAACTGCCGATTTTTAGACTTGACTTTTTCTGTGGTGTCCCTTTGAGGGGGATGGCTGACTCCAGGCAGCTGATGGGTGTACAGAATAGGCGTTTTCTTGTTGGGTTTGTGTGGTTGACCTCTGGCCTGCCTGCTGATTCCTATAATACAGATCAGTGACCAGTGAAGCCAGAACACTCCCTGCCTGTCTCTGTTATAGACACCTCAGTAAGGAACAGAAAAGAGGAAGAGGGCTGAGCTTGAAAGCCCTTACTTAATTGCTAGTAGAAAAAATGGGTAATAAGAATGACCTTGCACCTTATTTATTGACCAGATCTCTGGGAGGACAAAGTACTTGACTTGGTTCTGTATCACTTGAAAGGCTGGCTCTGTGGTCCATAGCTGATGAGTAGGCATAATAATATAGGGTAATTAAATTTTGTGCTTGCAGGCACTTAGATGCCAGGGAAGATTTTCCTTCCAAAAATACCACACACATCTAACCACTTTTTTCATAATCACAGAATTCTAAAGCTAGTCCTGAAGTTTCAGAAATTTGCCATTTGCCATCTTCCATTTACTACAATAGCCCAAAATGCAGCAAGCTGTGTATGAAAAGGCAGGAATAGAGCTCATCAGCAACTTGAGAATGAGGCACAAGAGACCAGCAGAGCAATCCAAGTGGACACAGATGCTCAGGCTGCCTGGTTCTGTGGCCTTCAGTTTGTTTTCCTCTCTCTGTATTAAAGTAACTTATTAGTTATGCTTAGTTTTAATTTATACATATATATATATATACACTCCCAAATTGCTTTTCGGGGAAAGCATTGGCATCTGTCTTCCTGTTGTACTTTGCATGGATCAGCTTGTCACCCTGTCTTAGATTTCTCCCCCTGTTTAGCACACTGAAGCCAAATAGAATGTGTAAAACCAGCGGACAAATCACTTCTGTAGGGGCTCTTTGTGGGAAGAATCAGGGTGAGCCCTGATTTGCAGGAGGGATCAGTTTGTAATCAGATGCACAGGAGGCAAAGGGATCTGCAGGCCATGGCTATCCTTAACAGGATTAGCTGTGATATTTTGCTCAGTATGAACTTGTAATCAAAAATTAGGGCAAATGTTTTGCTGAAAAGTATTTGGTTGATGATGGTTTCTCAAGGAAGTGTCAGATTGAAAGTCAGAGGCAGTATGCCTTCCTTTGCCTTGTTTTGATAAGAGAGCTTGAGCTGAGATGTCCTACCTCCCTCACAACTCATGTTTTCAGACCCTCTGTGGGCATCTTTAAAAACCTGCCCTGTGAGCACATGTTCCCTTCCTCAAGAACTGACAGAGTGTTGTTTACATGTGCTTGTTCCCAGCCTGAACTCTGAGGCATTCCCTCACTGGAGAAAAGCGTATGCTAGGTGCTGCATTTCTCTAAGGGGAGTCTCCAGGAAGTCTTAGCAGAGACCTAAGGCAAACCTGTGCAGTCAGGTGTTTGGTTTTGATGGTGTATTTCTGCATGGAAGCGTGAGTAC